CGATTCAATTGGAAAATGAAATGAAAATACAAAAGAATAACCTCGCAAGACTTTTCTCGAACTTTCATTCTTGTCACAGGGTTAATAGGACAATGATTAAAATAAATGCATTCGTAATTATGTATCTGCACACGTTCAGCTACGAAGGAATACGGAATGGAATGAACTATCTGGGCAATACAATGTTTATCGCACAATTATTGCAAAATTCTTAACGTTTGAATTCTAATTATGATTTTATAAAAAATGCTATTTTCAATAAGTATGTGATACGCGTTTATATCGATATTTATTTTGAAAAGGTATGCCTCTGTTAATCGTTGGCTATCCAGAGGCAGGATCAATGTTGATTCACTGTATCCGAGCAAATATGATTTTATATTTGTTTACCATTTTTCTATAGTTCCTTATACATTAACCATCGTTTCTGAAATAATTTGACACTAAACCTACCGTGTATTAACAGTGGAATTATTTAGACTTTTCATCGTTTTCGTAACAACGAATGCTCGAATTAACAAGTTGGTTGAATCATTTCTTATAAGGGAGTTTTTATGACCTGTATAACGCGAGAGCTTGTGGCTTTAGCAACAAGAAAGTGCACTCGGAGCCCATCGTTTTTACATTATCGTAAAAAACACGTTACATTATCGCTCATCACTTTTACAGGAATTTTATACTTTCATAAACGATAAAATTTCATTCATGGAGAAGAGCAACAAATTCTCTCCGACCTTAACCCTTAAATGCATGATTTTTTGTTTTGAATTTTAAAAAATCGTTTTTTTTATAGGAATGTAGTCATAGGTTACGTAACAAATAAATAAAAAGAATGTAGGTAATAATATCGAGTATTTATTTTGAAAAAAAGTTGTATGTAGTCTTTTGGCAACAATATACGTTTATTACTAAAATGATTGTAGACGTAAACAAATGGTCATGTATTTATATCATCTATTAGCATAGGAATTTTCGCATTATTTATAAATGAAACGCAGCAAAGCAATTGCGATTTTTGTTGTGACACGAAGCAACCTTGCATTCGATGCACTCAGTCCGTGAAAATCCTTTGCAACCTGGAAGTTATCAGCCACCACATTCGAATGTCAAAAAACATATAACTTACTCGCCAAAAGTAACGTCAACTCTTTCATTTCACACACAATCTATCGTCTATTGTTATCAACGTGTGCTCGGAAAACGCACATGTTCAGGTTTTCGAATAAAATTCAGTGAATCTGGAACGTAGACAATTGGCAACGATATGCATTTAAGGGTTAAAAATCTGAAAAACCGACCCCGTAGTCGACCCGCGACGAATCACGCTCGAACGCCACGAAAAACGAGAAGAAGCGCGAAGAGAGTAGGAGGGGCGACACGGGAAAACCGAAAAAGGAAGAGGAGAAAATCCATCAAACGCCAACATTTAATGGATAAACGTCCGTATTGAAGATCCGGAGAGAAAGTAAATTCGTTCGGGTGCGCAGCCAGCCAGCCAGCCAGCCAGTCGGGGTGGGAGGGTGGCACCCGGGCGTGGGTGGCGAGGGGGAGCAGAAATTTCAATCACCGACAGTCAGACCGACGGCAGACGCGGCTATTATTTTTCGATCAGATCGACTGATTATATTACGCGACTGCTCGCTCCTCGGCTCTCCTTCTCGTTCGCCCTCCTCTCGCCCCCATTGGGAGACGACGCCACCTCCGCGACCGATCCCCGTCGAAACGCGCAGACAGTCGTCGCGAGAGAAGTTTTTCAGGCAGACGAGCCGTAACTCCGACGAAAAAACCGTCGTTTCCGTCGCCGCGGAAGCGGCGTCGTTATCGGCGCTGGCAAATAGAATTTATTAAATAAGACTGCCGCTGCGCGAACCGGCCTGAAAACCCTCTTGCTTCCACTCGCGCGCGCGTCCGCGTTTGCACGCTTTTATAGCCGCACGGCCATTTCGCGCGGCCGCCTTCGTAAATCGCGACTTTTATGGCGGAACACGTCCGCGGTCTGGGCTCGATCGTATCTCACGCGAAACCGGGGGATGCGGAGAGCAACTGCGCGAGAAAAAAAAGGAGACGAAACAAAAATAAGGAAACCGTCCCGGGGGGGGGGGTTTGTTCCACTCGTCCGGACGAATAAAGCGAGACCTTTATCGCCGGGATCTTCGCGGCGCGGCTCGCCCTCCCCCCCTCCCCCCGATCGAGGGAGAAATATGACCGGCGAACGTTCGATGAAGCTTTTTATTCCCGGTGTTTCCGAGTAGGAAGCGCAGGAAATCGATGGTAACTTCGATTTTCTGACTCTTTTTCAGCCGGGATATTTTCCGAGAAAGTTTGCCGTCGCGCGAGCCTGAATAATGGGCCGGATCGTGCCCTCGATTCATCCGATTGCGGTTCGAGCGGTGTGATCCTCGTCGGTCGTCAAAGTATTCTGAAATTTTGTTGCCGCCTGGCGAAAATGTTTTCGAGATTTTATTTTCAGTTTCGAATGGATAAGATAGACTGACCTCGGTTGTGACATTTTTACTTTAACCTCTTAATGCACAGTTTTTTTGAAAAAGGCCGGCCAAAAAAGATCAATTTTTTTAAATGTAAAAAAATAGTTTAGAACGTTGTCTTGGCAAGAAAATTACAAAAATACAAAAATAATCAAAATTTGTATTGCAATTCTAATTTTCAGAATATTACTATTATTATTATTATTATTGTCATTGTTATTATTATTATTATTATTATTATTATAATTATTATTATTATTATATTTTATTTTACATTACAGTTTAGTAAAATATATATTGAAAAATGAGCGAATCAGAATCTGAATATGAATACGCTGTCGGAAAGCGGCTCACAAGGAAGAGATAAGTCGTAAGTGATAAGTAGAAAAGGATATATTTTATACTTGAATAAGTAAGTGTTATAGCTTACAATCCCATGTAAATGATAAATATCAATAAAACGATTGTTTTTTTTTGCTTTCACATTGTTATTTTCAATTCTCGATTGCATTCGAGTGTGAAAAATTATAGCAACATAAAGTACAACGCCGCTCGAATTATCTCGAGTGTGCACAGTTTGGCCAGTTTAGCGCGCTCGAGTTAACTCGAGCGTGCACGTTAAGGGGTTAATATACGATTATACAGAAACCATTGCATTTACAGCAACGATTCTGCTGTGAACATGTTGCCTACTTATCCAAGATTACCGAATCACAGCTATTTTGTTATACGTCTTGCAATGTCCAAGTTATTAAGAAAAATAATAATATGTCGGGGGCGGTTGTAACACAACGTGGGGTCGATAGCAACATCCAATTGATTTTAAGAAATCAAGATGTTTATTGCAAGTAGTGATGGCAGCCAGTCGACTACTATTATATGAACTGCTTGTTCACATAAATAGAGTTGCACTGTATCCCCATTTCATCGCGTATTCCACTTGTCTGGCCACATGTTGCTCCTGTTCTACTGTACAAACCATAGACAATCTCTATTGTACGTGTCCGACTATGAAGTATCCTCATCCACTTTCCTAATCTACTAGTCCGAGCACAAACATCCACATTCCCCTTGTCTGATCATACATGGTTCCTCTTTCACTAGCCAGACCATGGTCCGCACCTATTATACACGTCTGTGACTATGATCTCTCTTCATCCTCTCTCCTAATCTATTTACCCGAGCAGAAACATCCAGATTTCCCTCGGCTGATCACCACATTATTTGCAACATAGACTAGGGACCGAAAACCGAAATATTTTAACCTTTTAGGCACGACGCGCCATTATAGTGGCTTTCTCTAGTAGCTCACTCGGTCATCGAATTAAATAATTGTCTTCATATGCATTTTTTCACACTTCTTTTGTCTTCACATCGATTAAAAAAAACAGACTTATCTTAACAATATAACTGTTAACAATATAACTGTATCTTAACAATATACAGACAGAATATACAGTCACTCTATACAGTACATATCAGACTCTACCGTCCAGAGAAATAGCCTCGCGCAGAATTCAGTCGTACCTAAAAGGTCAAGGTTTAGGTATTATGCCGATATTTGTTTCTATATTGTCGTAATGTAACCGCTATTTGGAGAATTGGTTTTAATATCTGTACATGACGTAAAAATACCGAAATATATACCAATATGACGTCCATACCGGTTAAAATACCGAAATATTTATCCGTATAATACCGGTTATGAGACTCTAGGTTTGATTACAATGTTACAGTATTAATCGCGGCGTCTCTGTAACGTCTTCTTTTATTTTACCGATACGAGTCCCTGTAGGGTAAATGCGGGTATTACTGCGGACGCCCCAAATACTGCTGTATTTTATAAAAGTAATAAAATCTAACATTTCATAGTGTGTAATCTTCTAAAAATGAATCTCGTAACTTTTTATATGTTTAATATTGATAATCTATGAAATACAAGTAACAGCAATCGCGCAGTTTTAATTAATTTATTGACTTTTGATATTCGGAATCTTATGAAAACGTTAAGTCTTATGAAATACTCGTGATGGCAGCTGTGAAAGCTGATTCGAAAGGCATTTATATTTTGGCAATTAATAATAAACCATTCATTTTAGCGTTAGTTTTAGATAAAGCAATCATCACTTTTATAAAAAAAATCGATTTACACTGTCCCTATCATCGATTCTCAAATATTATTTACTAACACAGTACTTGACACTAATTTGTAAAGCGCTACAGTGAGATTCTTAGAGCTTGTAAAAGAAAATGGATTATGATGATTTTAAACTTAGATGATTTAAAAGAAAATGGATTATGTCAACCTTGACACGCAGTAATCGGAACGTCCGCAATATTTGGCTTGCAGTAATAGATACATAACCGCAGTGATATATGCACACGTATGGTTTCTTTACATTATGCTTTTTAATGTTCAGATCAATATCAAGAAATCCAATATTTTGAGAAAAGTAAATGTTCAAGTTAAAGAGTAATAGGTATAGCTCGAGTTGTCAATTTACTGGCGTGAAAGATCCTATTTCCTCTGTCAAAATTCGCCTTCATTGAGAAACCGCGGTAATACCTACAGATAAAAATATATAAATAAAAACATATGGATATTTCCATATACCGTATGTATCCAAGTATCGGTTTCTGCTTCAGACCACTGCGAGCCCTGTAGACCTCTCAGCTTCGTATTCAGATTACTATACACCGGGTGAGAGACGACGTAACGGTTGCAAAGAAGGAAATTCTGAATTATGCTTGCAGGTACTACTACGACAAGAACATCATGACGAAGGTGCACGGGAAGAGGTACGCGTACAAATTCGACTTCCAGGGGCTGGCAGCGGCGACGCAGCCAGCGGCCGCGGACCCGGCCGCGTACAAATACCAAAGCGAGCTGTTCATGTCCGGGTACGGGCACGCGAAGCTGAACCTGATGCCGCCGCCGGCCGCCTCGGTGTCGGTCTCCGTTCCCGGCGGCCTGTTCCAATCAGCGTCCAGCTACTGGTCGACGAGCCCCGGCGCGAACCTGTACGCGGGTCACCACACGGCCTCCGGCCATGTGCCGCCCCATCTGGGCACCTACCCCCACTACGCATGACCCACCGCCGAGCACTGGGGCGCACTGGGTACGCCACGTTAACGAGTTTCTACCGAAAGAATTAAGCGACCACGTCGGACCCGACTCTACTGGTCAACGTGGACCGTCGGCCTGGCTGTACAGTTTTCCCGTCGTTCGTCCTTCGTATCGGCTAATGTCTTGAACGGATCAAATCTTACAACTTGCCAGCCGTTGTTTTCTGCTCTTTTGCGATGATCGTTGTGATGATAGTCCTTGGTTGTCCAACTGGGTCCGTTCCGCGACGCATGTTTTTATTGATACAAGTTTTGCACTCCAAATACAACCTTCCGCAGGTCATGTTCAATTGAGCCGTTTATTTTGAAATTGGCATAAGTCACTTTGTTTTTAAGTCGATATATTTAAGGGTTTGCGTTTTGACACGCTTAAAAATATGGATGCTAATTTTCGAGAAGATTTGCTTGTATTTGTTGTCTCAGGATACTGATATTTTTCTCGGTATAAATAATTTCGTATGAACATTAAAAAATCACCAGTTTTCATTACGGTAAAGTGACTTATGCCACTTTCAAAATAAACGGCTCGTATGGTAGCAAGATACATAAATCGTTCTTCGTTGATTTGAAAGTAATACAAAAGCTTCGAAAGAATCTCAAATTGTCGCGAGCTGATAGGCAATTGTTAAGAACTATATGTGCAATATGAGGAACAGCACGAACTTTTATGGACTAAATGAATAGCTCCTTTGCGATGATCGTCGTCTAGTCCTTGGTTGTCCAACCGGGTCCGTTCCGCTTGACGGATAATGTTTACGTCGTCGCTATTTCAGCGACGCATGTTTTCATTGATACAGGTTTTGCACTCCAAATGCAACCTTCCACGGGTCACGTTCAATTCTTATCGAAATCAAATTTATCCTCTTGCAGGTCACATCGGACGTTCCTCGAATCTGATACATTCTTTTGCTACTCCTTTTGATCTTCTTTGAATCAAATCCATTCTTTTATCGATTATATTCACTTTTTTAAAATCAAATGCATCCTTGTACAGCTTGTATTGGTCTCTTTCAAATTAGAGACACATTTTTATAGGTCGTATACACCTTTCTCAAATCAAATTCGGTCACTTGCAGATCACCTCTATTGGATTGAAATACACCATTTTGCAAATGAAAGAATCTCAAATTGTCGCGTGCTGATAGGCAATCGTTAAGAACTATATGTACAATATGAAAAACAGCACGAACTTTTATGGACTAAATGAATAGCGTCTTTTGATTTGAACCCTCAGAATTTCATTGCAAAAGCGAGAAGTTAATGCGGTATAGATTTTTAACGAAACATTGGTTCTTTATTTCGAACAGATGTTACGATACTTGTGAGTAGGACTGTTCTCGTATTATTAATTACAATTAATTTCGTGGGTCTCCCGAGTGCGAAATAATATCAGATACGTAGTTTGTGTTTAACAATGATATCTAGTTGCGTTTACGGGATAATTCACAATGATGTGAAAAATGTACCAACATGAACCGCGTTATTGAATATATTATTACTTTATTATATTATATATTGTAACGTACTGTATATCTCGACAATCGACGAGAACAGAATATCGATAGAAAATGATGTCTCTGGAATTAGAGTATCAATGGAAACGGAATGTCTGTATATCGGTGAAATAGTGTCGAGGAAATCATTGTCAATCAAGCGGAATGGACACGACTAACTTAATTAATATTTGAAGGTTCACGTGTCCGTGTCTTTCGACGTGAAGGCGAATGGGAATTAATCCTATGGCTGTAAGGGGAAACGTCGCAAGTTGCAATCTTAACAAATTTAAGTTAATGCATTAATTGAACTGTAGCATATAGGATTTACATATTTATAAAGAAAAGCATCGTGAAAACAAATTTCACAGACTCAAAAACATTCCGTAATTCGAAACGCTACTAGTTCGAAGCATCGGAAATCAGAACTTTAAGCAACAATATCTCGAAAATGAAAACATGTGACTTGCGAATGGGAATTAATCTTATGGCTATAAGGGGAAACGTCGCAAGTTGCAATCTTAACAAATTTAAGTTAATGCATTAATTGAACTGTAGCATATAGGATTTACATATTTATAAAGAAAAGCATCGTGAAAACAAATTTCACAGACTCAAAAACATTCCGTAATTCGAAACGCTACTAGTTCGAAGCATCGGAAATCAGAACTTTAAGCAACAATATCTCGAAAATGAAAACATATGACTTGCGACGTTCTTCCTTGCAGCCACAGAATTATTCTGCAGCTTTGCCGCTGCGTGGGACCCATCTTCAGTCCCAATAATTCTTCGAATTCTGCTCATTCGTGAATAGACTGCAATTGCGAACAAGAAAATGGGTTCAGCTAGAACTAGCCTAAATAGTGTCGAACGAAAGACGGATCTTTGTTCCGAACTAAATAAAAGTAGAATTCAGATATGCCGTTAAATCCTGAGAAATTTTATGGAAATAACACGGTGAAGCGCCGAATCGAAGGAATTTAAGAACTATTATTTCTATTTAACAAATTCAATTCACCGGACCCAAGGGCTGTTTTTCACGAGCGAAAACTCGCGATTCGGAATTATTGCACGAACGAATTCGAAACCGATTGGAGGACGCGTCGATCGACGATGCGTATTTCGGTATCGTGCGTCGGGGCAACCGTGTTTGATTCGCTTCGCTCGAAATAACATGTTGCAGCGAAGTGTCGATCACGCGCGAAAACTGTACGAGGACCACCATCGATTCACGGCCGACGGTGCGCCCGAATTATTGTAAGAACGTTGTACATACAATATAATGGATTGCGTAAGTACAGGGTCGCACGTTCGCAGGACGATTCTCGACAGTCGATTTGTTCATCGTGCGAGATCGAGAGTTCCCTTGTTTCTCTCCGGGAATTTTGCAAATTTTTGACGACGTTGTTCAGGTCAGATTTATCGATTGTCAACATTTATTTCGAAATCGGGGAGTCGTCGTACGTTTTTGACGTACCAAACGCACGAAAAATGTTTACTCTAAGTTTACAGGATCTGCAAATTTTAGACCTCCGATGCGAGAATTCGAGAAGCCAGTTCATGAAATTCTTGGAAGAACTTGCAATTTTGTACGCGAGAAATAAGATGAGATAAGATCGTGCGTCGAGAATGATTCTGTTCAAGTAAACGTCGTCCTGTACGGGAATAACAACAAACCGGCGAGCCTCCGTAAAGCAACGCCGGCATTTCCGACTGGATGGAATCGGGCGTGCACATTTTAAGGAGACCACGTGCTAACGACGACGCGAGGGAATTGAAGTGTCCGGTCGAGACGAATTTCTGTCTTCGCGCTTTCGCAATCGGTGCTTGCACGAAACACGCTTGAAAATCGAAATCTTAATTTTGCCACGTTCGTTTTATTTGTATCGCTTCACGAATCTTTCCTTCGATCGATATGGAAAATGAAGTTCTTTGAGAATAAATCGTGAACTTATGGCGCCAATGACCCAGTTTCCAGTTGAAATTATAGTTATAACAATAAGTTATGATAATTTATATAGTTATAACAATAAGTTATAACAATATTGTTATATAGTTATAACAATAAGTTATAACAATATTGTTATATAGTTATAACAATAAGTTATAACAATATTGTTATATAGTTATAACAATAAGTTATAACAATATTGTTATATAGTTATAACAATAAGTTATAACAATATTGTTATATAGTTATAACAATAAGTTATAACAATATTGTTATATAGTTATAACAATAAGTTATAACAATATTGTTATATAGTTATAACAATAAGTTATAACAATATTGTTATATAGTTATAACAATAAGTTATAACAATATTGTTATATAGTTATAACAATAAGTTATAACAATATTGTTATATAGTTATAACAATAAGTTATAACAATATTGTTATATAGTTATAACAATAAGTTATAACAATATTGTTATATAGTTATAACAATAAGTTATAACAATATTGTTATATAGTTATAACAATAAGTTATAACAATATTGTTATATAGTTATAACAATAAGTTATAACAATATTGTTATATAGTTATAACAATAAGTTATAACAATATTGTTATATAGTTATAACAATAAGTTATAACAATATTGTTATATAGTTATAACAGTAAGTTATAACAATATTGTTATATAGTTATAACAATAAGTTATAACAATAAGTTATAACAATTTATATAGTTATAGCAATAAGTTATAACAATGTATATAGTTATAACAACAAGTTATAACAATTTATATAGTTATAACAATTTCGTCGATTGCGAAAGCGTGAACAACAACGCGTTGCGACGCCACGACACCTCGATATCGTCGACGAAATGTGCGAAATGCTCGATTCGGGCCAAGAGTAATGCGTGTATTATAAACTCTTTTAACTTATTTGTTACATAACGATGTATAGATAGAGGAACCGCATATCACCGTTCGTAAAAAAAGACAAAAAAAAGAAAGAGAGAGAAAAAATTCATCGTGAGGCATGCTTCTCGAGGTTGGCGCACGTTCAAGGGACGCGCGCTCGCATTGGTACTTTATATTTTTCTTTAGGGGCTGTTCCTTCTACCACCCTCGTGACACACTGACCAACCAGACGGTATGATTTTACAACGAATTTTTGAGATACACTGGTTCGGTTATATAGCAAACCTGACTCAATCACTAGCGACCAACGAAAAATTTTTACTATTATCGAGCGGTCTACAACGGACTAGCGAGCGATTTTCGCCCCGGATTAGCGATGGCCGAGCTATTCTCCATGATTCTTCCCCCGGATGTTCGCGAACCATTCGAAACTAGCTGTTCACCAATGAAAATCTCGATTCAGCCGTTTATTCTGAAAGTGGCATAAGTCGCTTTTTGTTTTTAAGTCGATGTATTTAAGGGTTTGCGTTTTAACACGTTTAAAAATATATAATATATAACTTATATATAACTTTCGAGAAGATTTACTTGTATTTGTTACCTCAGGACACTGATATTTTTCTCGGTATAAATAATTTCGTACAAACATGAAAAAAATCACCACTTTTCATCATGGTAAAGTGACTTATGCCACTTTCAAAATAAACGGCTCAATTCTCAGACGTTTATTTCACGAGCCTTGATTTTGTTGTCCGGTGTTCCGAGACGTTCCTGTAGTTTCATCGAAAGCCTAGAAAATTCTTCGTAACAGCTCGATGAAAAGACTGCAGTCAGAAATGTAACAATTTTTAAAGCGTTAGGTTGTCCTTGAAGATTGTATCCCCGGAATCTTATACTCCTTATGGTTGGCTGTTAAAGACTAAGAACATAGTTTTTCAGTGATCACTGTTTTAGAAAACTGCTCTTTCTGGCAGAGTTGCGATCAGGCTCAA